AATAGAGAAGAAAAATCAATACAAGGATTTAACGAGGTTTGGCTAAGCCTAATCCTCAGGACAGAAGCAGATCGAGTTTTCCACTATGAATGAGAAGAAAAATAAATCTATAGGATCCCCAACTACAACCCATATATATAGATCCCAAATAGTCCCAAACCTATAAGAGAAAAGTTTCCCAATTTGACAAGTACTATAGGTTTTCCTAAACATATAGGGATTATGAGTTTCCTAAAAATACAAGGAAATAATTCAAGCCACAAAATAACACTATTAACTCATAAGTGGGGGCTTCATAAAGAGTAAAACCCTAATTGAGAAGGTAAAGAAAGTGGACCCTCTCTCTAAAAATTCTACTCTCTCAACGGTAACCTCAATGGTTACAGAGTATCCACCCCAAATGGATACTTCACCGGCCGGCCAACCGGCGCCCATCACCCAGCCAAAAGACCCACCCATAGAAATAAGGCCACCAACGATCCTTCAACCTGACCCAAAAACCTCATTCTCCAATGTTCTAATCGGAACCACAAGCAACTGCAACGCAATCAACACCACCACTGTGGTGGCAAGGCAAATGACTCACAACGCGAAACCTGCTGTCATCTTGAAAGCTTCAGACTACTATGGTGTAATGGCTGAGAAATGCAAATGGACTTTGGTCGGTAAATTCACCATGGGCAGACCCAAGATAGAAACAATTAGGGCAAAATTCATTGAACAAATTCCCCTGAAAGGAAAGGTAAGAATTGGGGCTTATGACTATAGGCATGTTTTCATTGAATTTAAAATGAATCTGACTTCAATACTGCTTACTTCCAACGATTTATGGGAATTTCTGGAGCCCTAATGAGAATGTTCAAATGGTCCCCTGACTTTGACCCCAACGAGGAAACCTCCTTGGCTCCAATTTGGGTTCTATTACCAGAACTCCCCTTCCATATGTTTAAATGGGAATACCTAAAGCAAGTGTTAGAACAAATTGGTACTCCAATGAAAGAGGACATTACGACCATTGCAAGAACCAGACCACACATGGCCAAAGTCAGAGTAGAGGTCGATCTGATGAAAGCACTCCCAGATTCGGTGTTCGTTGGCATTAAAGGCGATACAACAGGCTTGAAGGGTAGAGATCAAAAACTAGAATATGAGGGCGTCCCAGCATTCTGTAAGACTTGTAAACTACAAGGACACGATTACGAGAGATGCAAGGTCGAGGCAAGAAAGAGAGAACAAGCCAGAGCTAACCAAGCTACTGAAAATGCTAAGAAAAAACAAGACCAAGCAAGAACTAATATAGTTGGAGAAACAGGAAATAAGGCTACTGAGGGGGCATAGAATCGTACTGAAAATTAAAAGGACGATGGTTTCATACAAGTTAGAAACAAGAGGAACAGGAAAAAGAAGGCCTTCCAGGCAAAAAGCTCAAATGTCAACAATAATGAGGCCAAAAAAGCTGATTTGAATCAGCTACATCCCCCTCACGATCAGACAACTATTAACAACACTGATAACAAAGCAGCTGAACCTGCCAAAAACGACACTGAAACAAAAAATGAAGAAACTAATGTTACACAAGGAAAAGGTGCCAATCCAAACAAGAACAGCAGCAAAAACAAGAGAAAAAAGACTAAAAAGTCGACTACCCAATGCCTAAAAGTCAAGAACAGACTTTGGATCAAACAAAAGCCAAATCAAATAGAAGAGAAAATCATAGAAGCGGTACAAAAAGAAGGAAAAATCACCAAGGAAAATGAAATAAAAGAGAATATAAAATGCAAGGACCAACTGGTTGAGGCTCAACAGAAAGGAAAAGCAAAAGAACATGAGGAGCAGTAGCTCTAGCTCAAACAATCAGATGATGTCTCCAGTCACTGCGGACACGGCTTGTATTCAAAACAAAGGAGGAAATATTGTTATTGATCTGGAACACTTGAACATATTCCAGGGGAACTGAACAACAAACATGGCCTAGATATAGACAATAATTCTATCTATGAATCAGGAGAGGACATTAATAGTAACCAATCTCACGAGGCCTCCACAGATGATGAAATTGCTAATAGTTCTATAGGAGGAAGTGAGGATGATTAAGAGCAGGTCGCGGACAGTCTAGTTGAAGCTTTTGCTCCAGCACCAAAGCATATTAATGATACCGTGGAAAAAGAAATAGAGGAGGTGATTCAAAAACATGGCCTCTCACCAAGACGGAACAAAAGAAGAAACCACAAAGGCATAGGAGGCAACCCCAAAACCTCAACTACCTTCCAAACACAAGGCAACCTACAAACCCCCAACCTTTCCTAATGATTAACATCATTAACTGGAATATTAGGGGCATGGTACCCAAGGGTGTAAGTGAAGATTAGCAAAACTAATCAGACTTCATAAGGCTCACATGGTCATTCTCCAGGAACCTTTCCTATCTTCTGAAAAATTAGAAGAATATAAAAGGTACTTTGGCTTTGATCAAGTTGTCTCCAATAGATGTAGCAAACTATGGTGCTTCTGGAACAATGATCTGGAGTGTGATGTCATCGACAACGGCAGACAACAAATTACTCTCAGGATTAAGGGAGAGGATCAAGTATACTAGATCACAGCAGTTTATGCTAGGAACTGTGTAGTGAAAAGAAGAAAGTTGTGGACTAAATTGAGGAACATGAGCAGCAGAATCAATGGCTCATGGTCTATCCTTGGTGACTTCAACACTATTATGGCTCCAGAGGAAAAGAAGGGTGGTACCCCGCACACTCTAAACAAAAGTGTTGATTTCATTACATGCATGGATGACTGTGGAATGTCAGATCTTAGCTTTACAGGGAATCCTTTTACATGGTGTAATGGCAGCAGGGGGAGGAAAAGAATCAGCACAAGATTAGATAGGGTTCTTATAAATGAAGAGTGGGCAGAGAACTTTCAAACAAATAGAGTTGACCACCATGCCAAATCAGGGTCGGATCATAGTCTCATCACCTTTAAATTTGGTAATGAGAACCATGAAGTAATCAAATACTTCAGGTTCCTTAATTTCTGGACTAAGCAGAACGACTACAATTCCTTAATTGAAAGGATCTGGAACAAGGAGGTCCAGGGAAACGACCAATGGATCCTTCAACAGAAATTAAAAGCAGTAGCTAGGGGCCTCAGCAAATGGTCCAAGGATTCTATTGGTGATGTCTTCACTTCAGTCAAACAATCTGAGCTGGAAATGTGTAGGCTAGAGCAGCAATATGAGACTCATAACACAGATGCCAATAGACAGAACCTATACAAGGCCCAAGCAGAATATACTAGATTGCTAAAGATGCAAGAATCCATTCTCAAGCAAAAATCCAGAATCAAATGGGCTGAAGAAGGTGACTCTAACTCCAAATATTTTCATAGTATGATCAAGGAGAAAAAGAGGAGAGCACATATCCATAGAATCAAGGATAATCATGGAACATGGATTGAAGGCAATGAAGCTATTGCAAATGCTGTTATTGATCACTTCAGCAATCTGTTCACTCACACCCAAAGTGACAACAATCTGTCCATTATGGAATGTATTCAACCGATGGTCACAGAGGAGGACAACCATCTCATGAACCAGATTCCTCAAGAAGAAGAGATTAGAAATGCAGTGTTCTCTATAGACCCCAACAGCTCTGCAGGCCTGGATGGCTTTAATGGTCACTTTTACCAAGCTTCATGGGACACTATTAAAAGGGAGGTTTGCAAGTTTGTTCAAAATTGCTTTAATGGCTATAATCTTTCCAGATACTATACTCATACTAATCCGGTCCTCATTCCTAAAGTGCCCTCCCCTTCATCTTTATCTCAACGAAGGCCTATAAGTCTTTGTAATGTGTCAAACAAGATTATATCCAAAATTATCAGTATTAGGATAGCTAAAATCCTTCCTAATCTAATTTCTGATAATCAATCAGGTTTTGTTAAAGGTAGACTAATCACCGAAAACATCCTTCTTGCTCAGGAACTTGTTCATGGTATCAAGAAGAACAATCAAGGGGGAAACATTGTCATTAAGCTTGACATGCCCAAAGCTTAGGACAAACTCTCTTGGAATTTCCTCACGGTTGTGCTAAGAAGAATGAACTTCTCTGAAATTATCATAGATACCATCTATAGACTGATATCGGAGAACTGGTATTCCATTTTAATAAATGGAACAAGACATGGATTCTTCAAGTCAACAAGAGGACTGAAACAGGGAGACCCTCTTTCCCCTTCTCTATTTATTATAGCGGCTGAGGCTTTATCTAGGGCCCTTAACAGACTCAATGAGAACAACCAATTCATCGGCTTCTCTATGAATCCTAAAGGACCCAAGATAAACCACCTAAGTTATGCTGACGATCTAATTCTTTTTTGTTCTGGTGACAGGAAATCTATAAAGTTGCTAATGGAAATCCTTGAGGACTACCAGGATACATCAGGCCAAGAGATCAACAAAGAAAAAAGTTTTTTCCTAAAAAACAACCATGGAATTGCCAGAAACAATAAAAGAACCATTAGAAGACTACGAAAATGGACAAGCTTTAAGCACATGCAATTCCCCTTTACATATCTTGGGTGCCCTATGTGCATAGGCAGAAAGAGGATTTGCTACTTCGCAGACCTGGCCACAAAAGTGCTAAACAAAGCGGGAGGCTGGCAAGGGAAACTCCTATCATTCGGCGGTAAAGCTATTATCATCAAGAACATCCTTCAGTCCCAAACCTTATATCTGCTGTCAGCTATGGTACCTCCTAAGTCCATTATCAAGCAGATTGAAATGTACCTCGCAAATTTCTTCTGGGGAGAGAAAGAAGGTAAAATGAGTTATCACTGGTGCTCTTGGGACAACATGAGCTATCCTACTGATGAGGGAGGTGTTGGATTCAAAAATCTCCAAGATATATGCAACTCACTCGCAGCAAAAAGATGGTGGAGATTCAGGGTGGAAAACAATTTACGGACTAAATTTCTTCGAGCCAAATACTGTCAAAGATCCAATCCAATCTCTAAAAATCTGGATCCTAAATACCCCAATTCACGGAGGAGCCTAATGGAGACAAGAGATAAAGTGGAAGATTACATTCAGTGGAAGATCAACAAGGGTAATAGCCTATTTTGGTGGGATAGGTGGCTACCATCAGGGAACATCAAAACAATAGCCAAACCCCCCCCCCCCCCCCACAAAACCAGGAAACACCAAGATCAAGGATTTCCTCAATAACCAAGGATGGAACTTGGAGCTTCTTCAAGAAGTTGTGCCTCAGAGAGTTGTTTATAAAATCGAGCAAACCAAGATTGGTTACAACGATATTCTCGACCAAGCAGTATGGACCCCCAATCCCCAAGGATCCTTTTCTTGTTCTTCCGCCTACCAGCTTCTAAGGAAAAGAAAGGATCCCTCTCCTCTCTTGGCCAAAATCTGGAATAAACATCTGCCTTTCAAAATCTCCTTTACTACATGGAGAATTCTGAAAGGCAGGCTACCCCTGGGTAACATAGTGCTGAAGTTTGGAACTAACAGTATATCTAGTTGTTGTTGTTGCAGGGTGCCAGAAGAAGAAAACATGAACCATGTCTTCGCAACTAGAAATACAGCAAAGAAGGTATGGAACACTATGTCCACTCCACTAGGATTTCGGACCACGTGAAGGAATATACCATGCATCATAACTCAATGGTGGAGTAGACACCCAAAAACCAATGATCATAAGTTTCTACTGCAAATCACTCGAACCATAATATGCTGGGAAATATGGAAGGCCAGATGCGGTAAGAAATATGGTAAGAAGACTATTTCTATTTTTAGAATATGTCAACAAGTTCTTTTTCAGGTAAAAGTTTCCATGGGCCAAAAATACAGCCAGATGGATTGGAATTGGACATGGAACAATGTATGCAAGGTGGCAGAGGATTACAAGATTCAACTGAAGAGTATTATGGTTCTTTGGGAGCCCCCGTGACAGTAACCAATGGAAAATAAACACAGATGGAAGTTTCTGCGCAAACGCAGGCAAAGCAGGCATTTGGGGTGTTGTTAGGAAGAGAAATGGTCATGGCTTTCTCCGCACCAGTATATTTCTTGGCTAACAATTACTCTGAAGTACAAGCGGCCTTGTTTGCTATTCTCTGGTGTTGTGATCACAACTGTCGAGACCTAATACTGGAATTAGACTCTCTCCTGGTTGTTAACATGATCCAAGAGAAATACGATACCCCATGGAGACTAAAAGAGGGAGTCACACTTATTCAGCAAAAGGTGCAACATCATGGCATCAAGATAAAACATTGCTACAGGGAAGGAAATGAAGTCGCTGACGCTTTGGCCAAACATGCTGCTACTCTCACGCAACAGGCCATCTTCCTCAATGAAACTGAAATGCCTGCTGAGGCCAGAAATGCAATGACTATGGATAGAAGGCGGATTCCGAATTTCAGAATTAGACCAAAGAAGCACTCAGGATGAATATTTGATCCTCCTTAACTGATAAGGAAAGAGCTAATGTTGTACCAAACCATATCATGTTATAGTAGCTCTTTTATAATTTATAGGCCTAGCCATTTTAGTTTTTCTAGATCAGTGTGACTATATGAGGTTTTGGCCTTTGTCCCCCTCCTTGTACTATTTTACTAATGAATAAACAGGGTAGGGGTCTATGCCAAACCCCCAACACCACAGGAGATGAAAACCTGGGTGGATGGTTTAATTAAAAAAAAAAGTCATGACTACTAAGAATAGAAATACCACGCTGGAAAAAAAGGTACATCATCTATTTAAAACATATAAAATAAGTGTACAAGACCTTAAGCTACCACGTACAATCTTGCACCTCGCATTTGGAACGTTGATAGTTAGATTTCCTACTGCTTGCTCACAATCCTTCTCCAATTTGTATCTGTACACAAGGTACAAAAGTGTAGTACACCAATATAGGTACTCGGTAAGTATCATCGACGGTGCCTAACGAAGTAATGACTAGGGTTTATCGAAAAAATTACTTTAAAAACTTGTGCAGATATTATATCTAATAGTAATAAAAAATTTAAAAAAATATAATAAGATATGCATGGTAAAAGCGTATAACAATATGCACAAAAAGGATCATATGACGTGATGCATGCTATCTCAGATAAATAAGTTCAATGCATATATTAATGTATTAAAATAACATATATAATCGTATGCACAATTCAACATTTATATAAATACAACCACTAAAGCCTTTAGATTTTTGCGCATGATAAAGACTCAAATATGGATAGGCAAGCCCTAACTGATACCTCAAACAGGAACGTGAATTCACATGTCCTAACTGATACCTCAAATAGAGATTGAATTCACACACGTTAATTGATACCTCAAACGTGAACATGAATTCACACGCCCTAAACTGATACCTCAAATAAGAAATAAATTCACACGTCCTAAATGATACCATAAAAGAGGAATGTGAATCCGTACTCCCTAACTGCTTACGGATATAAATCCACATGTCTCCATAAGCATCTCAATCAGGTAATGAGAACAAACATATGCTATCAAATACATATACATAGTGAATAGTATGACTACAACAGTCCAATCATTAAAAAAAACAAGTACATGAAGTTTATAGTATTAAACTATGCGAAGTATACCTATAACATTATACTAATATGAATATGATGCTCAAGTATTCATACAATAATTAAAATAGGCAAAACACACAAGTATAAGCATGTATCCGTAATATGAAAACATGATGTCCGAATATATGCTCATTAACTCGCATATATATATTACCCATATATACATAGTATATAGCAAACAAGTCAATTTGAAAAAGATTAATTCCGTCAGTGAAGTAAAGTCTTAACTTACCTTGTCCTAGCTGTCCTTAGCCTTCGAGATTTATTTTTTCTCACTCCAAATTCACCAATTGACCTCGATCTAGTCAAAAGTATTCTCAACGAGGTTAAATAACATGAATCACTTCCACAATTTGAAGATAAGCCAAATTTAAAGTCAACCGAAAAGTCAAACCCGAGTTACATGGTTAAACTCCAAAATAAAAGTCAAATTTCGTTTATTCATAACTTCACGAGTTCATATATATGCTTATATTTTCATTTAGACATTTAAATTGCTATTCAGTTAATCTTAGGTTTACATTCCATCCATATTTTTAAGGTAAAATTAATGATAAATTCATGATATAAGCATAGATTCAAGTTAGAATCACTTACGACAATCTTATAGATATTAACCTTGCTTAAAATTAAGTTCCCACAAAAATGATTAAAAAAAACAATAGGCCTAAATCACGAAAATACAACTATATATAGAAGACAAAAGCTGAAGTTGGGTGCCATAATTGAAGCCTTGCATCGCAAATTGCTCCTGGGCAGGTGACGTAGCTGGCGTGGTGCGCCCACCCTCGCGCGTGAGTGTGGCTGCAATTCCGGGCATGGCACGACACCAGAACTTGACCTACAATATTTTCCAATTTACGTTTGATGCGCTGAAATTCACTCGAGCCCCCTCCCTTCCCCCACCCCTAAAGACCCCTCTAAATCATCCCGACAAATTCAAAAATATTATATGAACCTATCTACAGCCTAAAAATATGAAATAAAGCATGAATACTAAAAATGAGGGATACAATTAATTATAGAAAATTATAACTTCAAATCTGCATACCATATTGTCAAATCAACCCCCAGTCCTTTAGGTTCCAAACCAATCACATATCTGCAAGTCAAAAAAATATTCGTATGAATTTATAGGAAGTATCAAAACATGAAATGGTATAAAATAACTCAAAACAACGAGTTGGATCGTTGCGATTTGTCTTTTTGTTATTCAATTTTAATATACTAGTTATAGATTTACTTCCTATTTTTCAGAATAAAACTCTTAATATGTAAAATGAAAGTTTTATTCATAACTTATATTTTGTATAAAATTTTCATAGTGTAAGGGGGGTTAAAATATGATTTTAAAATATTGACAGTTGCTTCACACTGTAGGTGTCACGATCCCAATTTTTCTCTGTAAGATGTTTGATGGCACCT